GAAAAAAAAATCATCAACTGCTATAATCCGGCACTAGATCTTCTGATCTGCTCCATTTGTAGGATATAAGTGTAAAATGAATTGTTATTTCTTTTAAATTATTGAATAGCTCATTGCACCAAAGACCAGCATCATCATGGATTCATTCACTCACTCTGTGGGGGGGCTCTATGGACAGTCCTAATGATTTGAGCACTTTGAGCTCACTGCATTGTATTCTCATTGGAAAAACAGGTGTGAGAACTCAAACCCAGAGAAATACTCTCTCCCCCCCACTAGCTGGGGCTGCTGCCTCATGGCTGAGGGGCTCGCTCCTCTAAGACCATGCAATGATCAAGCCACTTTACCCCATATCCCCATGAAGATGGCGAAGAACAGCGTCCCCACATTGTCGAACAGGTGGGATTGCTGAAAGACAGGAAAGGGAAAAGGTCAGACTGCCCTTGAAGGTCACAACCTCTACCACAACCGGGCTCGAGCTATCCTCCGGGACCCAATATACCCTGGCCACGATCTGTTTTCACCCCTGGGCTCTGGTAGGAGGTATGGTAGTATCAGAACACTGACCAATAGATTCAAAAACAGTTTCTTCCCTCAAGCAGTCCGCATCAGAAACAGCTCAGATTAGCACCTGCACTTTAAGGCACTGCACTGTTTGCACTATGTCCTGTTGGCTGTATTCTAACGTCTTCTGTCTAAATGTATTCGCCATGTCTGTTTGTCATTTGTGCCTGTTTTTTTTTCCTCTGATGTTACTGGGTACAGCTGAATGAGTAAGCATTCCAATACACTTATTGTATATGGAAAATAAAGAAATCTTGACATCTTCAAGAGCAATGCTATACTTTTTGAGTTCTGATCCCGGATGGCCCCAGTGCATCAGAGTTTTTGGAGGGCTAAAGATCACACCGATTAATCGCATTACGAGGAGGAAGACTCTGGATGAAGGACCAGGTCAGTGGACACATGGTCGATAGGATCTCATGCCCCTCCGCGTCGGCCAGCCTATCCCCCGGTTCCTACCCGCTCTCTGACGAAGCACGGTCCCTACAGGACTAGTCCACTGCTCGCTTGCCTTCATCCTGCACACATGCATTCCTTCATTCACATGGCAGTCATTCCTGGTTTTGCATTTGGCCTTGCTGTCCCCTGTGTATCACGATCGTAAACCCCTCCTCTTAAGGACGCTCCAGCCCTTCCTTGTT